GCCGAGCAGACCACGCTGGTTGGGGGAGGGGACACGCATGCAATCCGCCGTGACCAGCGAGGGTCTGGAGGAGAGGGGCTGTGCATACAAGTTAAACCACGTTTAGGGGAGGAGTTCGAAGGAGCCGCCCCCTCTGGTGGGAACAGCATTGAACACACGCCCTTTTCCTCTCGCCTGGTAGCTAACTGCTCTCCCCGGGTCGGTTTCCTACTGGTGTTTCCCCCCTTCCTCCCCCCAACCCCCGGGGGGACTGATTTTAGGTTGTGGGGAGGAGGAAACCGTGGGCCATTTAGCTAAACGGGCTGTATTCTCCCCAGCAGTAATCATGAGGTGGGTCGTGGTGTTTGTGTCTTTAGTTAGACAGCGTTGGACCTGGAGTTGCAGGGGGATCTTAACCACGTTGTTGAATCGTGATAACTTTGAAAATCTATGGCGTGGAGAGCTTGCCACGTATCTGGAAGTTTATTGAGGGGGGAGGAGTGTATTCTTTTCTACTTTTCTCTGGAAAGTACTCAGAGAGTGAACTTGCAATTTAAATTGTCTTTATAGAAAAGGTAAGAGGTTTCTTAAGGTATTCTTCGAACGCTCTGACCTTTTTCCATTCTCAAGATACTTTAAGTAACTGGTTGTACTTTTATTCCCAGTAAGCCTGATCTAGGCTGTGGATCCTAGGTATTCTGGATCTTTTGGAATAATAAATATGAAATTAATTGTGGCTGTAAAACTTACATACATACATTTATAGGTGATAACCTTTGTTTTTAAGTAATATCTCTAATATGTGAGAGTTTAAAAAGTAAACGGAAACTAGGACTACTTTGCTAAGTAGGAAAGTTTGGCACAGGGATGAGTGAAACAGTTGGTTTTCGTAGCTTTTTTTTTTAACCAATAGTGTATTCCTGCATGCAAAGGTAAGGGTAAATAAAGCTCAAAGTTCCGGTCCTAGGGAATTGTCTCGGGTCCAAAAGGTGGATTAATAGGACTGGGTATACCCTGCTCTGAAGCATCAGGCTTTGGCCTTTTGCAAGGCAGAATGTTGGACTAGATGCACTAGTGGTCTGATCTCGAATGACAGTGCCTGTGTTCTGAAATACAGTGACTTTGCTGCTCAGGGTGACACTTCGGTGTATGTTCTGCTGGTGATTTACTTGCCAGCACTGGAGTCTTGCTACAGGTAAGGAAAGTATTGTATCTTTAAAAGTATAGCTATAGCTTCTAAGGTTTCTGGTATTAAGTAACTTTGTAAGCAACCATTTCTAAAAAAATAATTAAAAAAAAAAAATCTGTACGATCCTGCAGTGTTGTGAAAGATCTGACTTGTCTTACCCTCAGTTGACAGGCACTGGTCTACAGGAAAATTAAGTGCCAAAGTCCAGCAGGCTGTGAGTAGCAGAAAACCTTTTGGGACCTGTCAGGATAGCATTCCGCTATCTAGCTGTATTGAGCAGCCCTTTCAGGGGAAAAAAATATAAATATTCAGTGGCAAGTACATTATGTTGCTCTACTAGGTAGTAACTGGAGAACTCTCCTAATAGATTTAAATTCAAAACTTTAAAATTGTATAAATTTTTTTTTCTGGATATCTTAGCTAATTGTTGGCAATATGGAAGTCTGGTGAAAGGTTCCTCATCAGAATAAGATTTAGTGTTGGAAAAGTTTTCCTCTGTTCAGCGGTCTTTGAATTGAGTTATGTCTGCTAGTTTGTAGTGAATATATATATGCACAGCTAAAACAATGAACTTAATAAAATCCAACGTATATCCCCAGTTTCTACTCCACTTGTTGGTAGCAGACTGCCTTAAGACTGAGTCTGGTTGTTGAAGTCAGTTTTTTATAATTGTTAAGAAGTAGTAATAAAGTCCTGGTATTTACAGGCTTCATGTGCCTGGCACTTAGAGCCAAGTACTTTCTACACAGTTAAACTTCTGGGTGGATAACAATGGTATCTGCACTATTGTTAGAAAATGGCAAGAAGTAAAAAGTGAAGGAACCTACAGTTATTGAACCTCTGCATCTTGTGGCTAACTCTTCTGTAGCACTGCAAAAAGAGCATTTGGAGCTGACGGCTACGTTATTATATCCCTGTCCTTGAATACAAATGAAATAAAACATTCTGAGTCACTGTTTTTATATAGAGCATCAATTAATGTGTTTTAAGTAAGAATTTTGACTTTAAATTTGATGGAGCTTGCTTCTGCTTTTCCTTGCTGGTCACTTTCACTTGCTGGTACTCCTCTCCTGCAGGCATTGCAAAATGAAACAGTGTGGGCAAGTATGGAAATCACAGGGGTTTTTCGTTTGTTCATTTTAAGATTAAAGCCAGTTATGAATTGCTCTATCTCAGTGCTTCAAGGCTTTAGGTACTTAATTTTTCTTTATTAGTAACTCTTGAATCCCAGTCTTGCATTGGCACTACAGTGGAAGGGTGGTCCTTCGAGATTTTACTTGAAGGAAAAAATAGATTTATCTATTAAATGTAACTTGTCTTGTTGCCAGTGTTGTACCTGGACAATGTAAAGTATAAATATTGTGATTCTGGAAAACTTCCATGGGGCAGCAGAAAAGCAACACTTCCTTGGGGACTGGCATTTAACTTGAGTAATAATGTGTGGTAGTGTCCAGAGATAAGCTATAGACACTTTCCAGATAAGTAAAAAGATACGATCCTTGCTCTGAAAACTTTCAGTCTAAAGGGAAACAGAGAGCAAGGTAGAGACACAATAAAAATCAAAATACCAGGAACAACACAGGTTGCAGAATTGATTTGTGTGTGTGTGTGTGTGTTTTGGGGTTTGTTTGGTTTTGCTTGTGTTTTGTTTTGTTTTTTTTTTTCCCCTGGCTCTGCATCAGAGCATTTCTATATTATATTTTAAATTCTTCTCAATTGTAGTTAGGTTCAAATGGAGGATGGGCACAAGACTGCTAAAACTGTTGCTGCATAAATCATTTAATTGTTTTATGGAGTTTCAAGTCATGTGTATCCCTAAAAATTCTGCAGATACCATGAGCAGTGCCTAGTCTTACAGACGTTTGGAGTTACACCAAGTCCAGACCCAAACAATGACCTCTGTAATTGGGAACCTCTAGTCGGTGAGTCTTGTCTGAGTACAGTTGTGCCAATTTTTGAATAGACTAACACCATAGTGACGTGTTTTAGGTACATAACTGTCACTAGGCTTCAATGTTTCAACTTCTGATGCATAATTGTAAGTGAATGTTCATTTAAGGCCTAAATCTAGCACTGCGTAGTTGTTTAGCACAACTTTGAAAATACCTATAAGAAACATTTCTTATCTATCTTTTTGCTTATCTATGTATAAAAAAGGCACCAGAGGGGTGCTTTTAATGGAACTATTTATTGATAATATGTTGACCTCAGTGAGACACCTTTACCAACTGGAATGAGAACCAGAAAGTGAAACTGACCGCTCTGTGCCAGACCTGCAACAGGCCTTTACAGTGAAGGAAGTTCCGTAACTTTTTTTCACAAATGCTTAGTTTGATAGTTATATTGGTTAAATGCTGTAGTTTAAAAAAAACAAACAAACAAACCAAACAAAAAAACCCCTCAGTTACCATTTAACCTGTCATGCGTTTTACTTGCCGTATTGTATAAGAGGATGGGTTTTTACTTCTGCTGATAATCATTTAACCTAAATGTTCCTCTTCAGTGCATGATGAGATCAGTTACTAGCTTTTTGAAGATTCCTTCTAGCACTGCTTTTCAGGAGTATATGTATTTTTTTTTAAACTTATACTATCTGTGGATTTTAATGCCTGTGGAAATATCTGGGGATCTAAGTATTCCCTTTTAAAAAAAACAGAAGCTTTCTAACTGGTCATTAGGTTGCATTCTGATGTGTTGACTTACAAAGACTGAGGATTTAGGGACCTCACTAGCTGAAGATAGGGTATTACCATACAGTTCTTATTCAGTTGTATAGGCATTTAGTGATCCTTTTAAATGTTAGTATTGCTTTTCATCATTTCAAAATTTCAGTTTGGTAGGCATTGAGTATGGGTTGTACGAATTACTGTGCATTTCTGAGTTCTTACTAGATTACTTGACTATTACTTTGCTAAGTAGGTGCTTCCGACATAACGTGTTGATAAGTTACTCTATTCCAAAAATACTGGACTGACAGCTGTTACTAAAAACTTGTGCTATTGGGACCTCTCTCTACACCTTTCCTCCCCCAGTTCCTTCTCACATGCACACTTCAATTGTTAAGCTGAATTAGTAAGTAAGTTATCTTAAAATTTCAGTGCATATTTTAAACCAGATTGAACAATATCCATCCCAGATGTCTACTAGACTGTCTTTTTATGCTCAGTCTAACTGAATTTAACAAATTGTTTATTTTTATGTCTGGTTGCTTGCCTTAACATCTTCTAGATGGTTGCTGGTGGCAAAGAGATACTCTTCATTGACAAAACCAGCAATTTTTTTTTTTTTTCAGGCTTTTAACTCCAGGTAGCTTATCTACTGTGTTTTTATCACCTTGGTGTAATAAAAGGTGCAGTCTCTCTTTGCAGACTTGTAATTATTAAGCATTGCACATCAGTGCTGTTGACAGTTCTAAAGAAAAAACAGAAGTTGATCTAAATGGGGTGAATGATGAGTATAGAGTGAGGAGAATGGCAGATGCAAGAGCAGTTTGTTTGATGTTTCTGCCCTTGTGAGCTTCTCTGGTTCTGTTGGGAAGACTTGCAAGTTTCTATCTTCAGTAATACCAGTGTAAATATACCTTCTTTCCTCCACCTTTCTCCTTGCCCTGCAAAATAAGATACAGCAAACCAAACAGCCTTCTCTTTTGTTTTCTTCTTCCATAGTGATTTTTTTTTTTTTTTGATATAAGTATCACTACTCCTGTTCACCAGGTAGTGAGAGCCCAGCAGGATTTACTTTCTAGCTGAGAAGGTAGGGTACAGTGCTTAGAAAGAGGAAGGTTGTTTTCCATAGGGACAATGTCTTTCATTAATGTTTTATCTGACTGTGTTACATTTTCAGTACCTGATTTAATATGGGTCTCTGACTGAAGAAGATGAAGCTGTGTATGACCACTTTACTACAAGGCGGCAATATTGCAATTTCGATCTTGTTTGTTAGATAAGTGATGTCAGAAACCATTGTTTTACAAAACTGCTAGAACAGAACATGTGGCAATTCTACTTTTCCCCCCTCCTCCCCGTTTAGACTTTTAGAGGAAAAAACCTAATACCTGATACTTGTACCACATCAAACATCTTATTTAGTAACTTTATTGTCCTTCATATACTTACAAGAATAAAATCAGTGTTTTCACATGTGAGATGGGTCAGGAGGCAATCTTCAGGAAGACTACCTGTTGCAACAAGAATTTGAGTCCCTGCATGGTACACCATAACAAGGCGTGCCAATAGTTGTATTTCTAAATTGGTATTTTACCATATTCGGACTGTGAGTGAGTGAGCAGCACTCTGTAGCGCATCACTGTTGTACTTTGTTCCACTCATGCATACTCTGAAGCTTGGATGGGATCCAGCCTGTAGAAATCTAATGACTGGTCTTGCCTTCCTTTTGTTTTCTTGTTGGGGTTTTTTTTTGTTGTTGAGGGGTTGGGGGGTTTTGGGGGAGTTTTTTTTAAGAGGCTTGGTGTAGGGTTGAAATAAAATAATTATGCTCCTTTGTCTTTTGAAGGCTGCTGCTGTAAGCCATGAATATAGGGGTACTTGTACAGGAGGGTGACTTGTAATTGATTTCAAATGGATCAACAGCCAGAACACAACAGTGACTTTTGGGGTATCTTTCAACTAAACAGCCTTATTAGCGGTGCACGATGTTAATCGCAAAGTGCAGTTCAGTTAATGGGAACTGAATGTGAAATTCAGCAGTCATGCTCTGCAGTGCATTGTGGTTCATCTGCTGGATGGAGCTTGTGTTGGCTTCTCTTTGCAGCAGTCCTCGAGTCTGTGATGCTGGGTAGGTCACTTAATCTATCGCCTGCCTGACTTTTCTAGTTGTAGCGGTGAGCTCATGTGATGATTACTGCAAAATCAAGGTCATCATTGGCTTTGGGTCAAAGGGATTGTAAAAAGTGTGTGGAGGGCTGCCTGAATCTCTAGTGCCTTTTTCAGCTGTGCCTCATCCTCCCATTGCATGTCAGCCATAAGAGGTAGATGTTTGGAGTCTGACTGAGGCATTATCAGCTAGAACTCAAATATAATTCAATTACGTAGCTGTCTTGGTTCCCTTGAGTAGCTGTATTACAGGGCAGTTATGTCTTGTCAATAAAGTAGTTGGGACAGGTGCTGAGAAAATAGCCAACAGTTACTTAGATTTTGGTTTTTAGGTTTTGGTAAATCAGAGAAACTCATCTAATTTTGTTGGCAAGTGAGGCATTGGTTTCAGTAATAGCTGCTTGTGTAGTTAACTAATTTTGTCTAGAATTGGCCATTGCATTTGCACTGTTAATGATACCTCATTGCCTGTGCTACTTTCAGTTAGGTTAGAGAGCAGAGAAGGTGCTGATGAGGTAAATAAAGTATGGATCCATGCTCATTCGCTGTCCAAAAATATAGGTTGGGTGAAATGTGTATGTTCTTTCATTGTTGTGCCTAGTGATACAGTTAAGCATTGTAACAGCTCTCTTACATCTTGTTAGAGCATCAAAGTAACTAATTGAGAAAGCTCCTAGAAGCCCCTGGAGAAAACTTAAAATGCTTTAGAAATAGGGATCACATAGGAAAGCAAACATCTTGAAAGGAAGGTATGAGGTCAAGCATGATTATATTGAGCTGTGAGAAACAGAAATTCAAAAAAGAACAGTTAGGAAATGTTTATCTATTTCATGATAGTATTTGTGTACTTGTTTTATACCTGGAATCCTAGTCTTAAATATCACAGCTTTGAGACAGGGTGTGGGGGAGCTCTGGCTTAAAGTTCAGGCTGATGCGTTCTTTAAATGCAACTTTAATCTTGAGGTGCAGACATTGCTTTCAAATAGTGCTTTCACTAGTATCATGTTATATATTGATAGATACGTAGTTTTAATAATGAAAGAACCATGTAGCATAGGTTAAGACGGCTCTTCCTCACTGCAGTCAGGAGCCATCAGAGTGTGCTACTTGCCAAAAAGCACTTTCAAATTCTGAGAATATAATCCAGTCTATTATAATAGCTCCTTAGGAAAATGCTAGAATACACTGTGTGTTCATTTCTGACTTGAAAGGTGTAGGTGGCTTATTTATGAGAGTGTTCTTGGGATGTTTTTGGGCTACAAATCTTGCACTGGAAGCAAGGATATGGCACTTTCTTGTTACTTGAAGAAAGCTTTTGTATCTCTGAGATTATGAATTGCTAATTTTTTTTTCACCCCCTGCTTTTTAACAGGAACAGGAAGGTCGTCGATTACTCCCAGTTTCAGGAATCAGATGATGCTGGTAAATGACTTTTTTCTTAACAGTATAATATTCTTGGGCTAGAGCAGTTTATTGCTTTGCATATTAATTCTTTTGCTTCTAGTCACATCTTTAACTTAAATGCTAAGGAGTTTCTGCTCTTCACAGTCTCTGAACTGTTAATAAGTATTTGAAAATATAATGATTCTCATATGTTTTGTATTAAACAAACAATGGTGATAGAAATCTTATTATTTAATGCTTGTATTGTTGTAGTGCCTTGAGGCTGTTGGCAGCAACTGTCTTCTTCCTTGGTCTATGTTATGGTCTGTGGCAGAATCTCCCTGATGCCACTTTTTTCTACAGTAAAATATGTTTTCAATTTATTTTAGTGGACTAGCGTTAATCCTGTAATGTCAGGCATTTTTGTGAATTGCATCTAAAAAAAAAAAAATCTTTAGGTTCTGTGTGAATTAACGAAATATTTCTGGAAGCCATATGGAATATATATATTGTGTTCTTAAACAGACATACTGCTACTGTTTGCACTGATAATTAATGGAAACAAATATGCGTAGTTCTTAATTGCAGTCCTGTTACTTGTATTGTATAAGGTATTGTGTAATAGTTGTAAAAAGTTACACTGTAAACTACTATATAACGACATACTTTCCCCCATCATAGGACAGTAAATAAAATGCTGTTAAAAGCGTGTAGAAGTATGTATGGATGTTAATTTTTAACAGGTTTACATAAAAACTCTGTTTCTGACTAGCTGTAAAATGAGATGCTGTGTCCTCCTGTGAGGCTTTTCATATGTTTCCTAGTAGTCCTGTGTCAGACTTGATTGTATGCGGCATTTTTATTGTGCTGTTGGCAGAAGAAAAGGTAAATCACTAGTTTAAGACAGGACTTTGCTTCTGTAAAGTTTTGTTTGAAGCTTTGTGACTTTTTTTTTTTTTTTGAAGGGCTTCTTTTTGATGTGCATGAAATGGTCAGTTTAAGTTATAGCTGAGGAAGTCAGTTTGCTGGGAACTAGGAGTTTGATTCAAAACCATTTTGTACTGTCCCGTCCAGATGAAGATTATGGAAGAGATTCAGGTCCCCCATCCAAGAAAATCCGTTCGTCTCCCCGGGAGGCTAAAAATAAGAGGCGATCTGGGAAGAATTCTCAGGAGGACAGGTAAAAGAAGCACTTCATCTGTGTGCTGGTTTTGCTGGGACAGAGTTAATTTTCTTCATAGTAGCTGGTATGGGGCTAAGTTTTGGATTTGTGCTGAAAACAGTGTTGATAATACAGGGATGGTTTTTGTTACTGCTGAGCAGTGCATATACAGAGACAATGCCTTTTCTGCTTCTCACACCAGCCCACCAGTGAGGAGGCTGGGGGTGTGCAAGAAGTTGGGAAGGGACACAGCTGGGACAGCTGACCCCAACTGACCAAAGGGATATTCCAGACCATATGACGTCATGCTCAGCATATAAAGCTGGGGGAAGAAGGAAGGGGGGGATGTTCAGGGTGATGGTATTTGTCTTCCTAAGTAACTGTTACACGTGATGGAGCCCTGCTTTCCTGGAGATGGCTGAACACTGATGCTGATGGGGAGTGGTGAATGAATTCCTCGTTTTGCTTTGCTTGCGTGCACGGCTTTTGCTTTACCTATTAAACTGTCTTTATCTCAGCCCATGAGTTTTTTCACTTTTACTCTTCCGATTCTCTCCCCCATCACACCGGGGGCGAGTGAGTAAGCAGCTGTGTGGTGCTTAGTTGCTAGCCGGGGTTAAACCACACCAATCTGTTAGGAACATTGTCTCCAAACCTTGTCCTGTATGTGGGGAGCAGTATCTTCTAAGAAGAGTGATTTTAAGTAGAATTCAAGGCCTGCAGTGTAAGATACAGAGCTTTCAATCACAAAGCTTGCATAACCAGCTTGGACATTGAGGTGGTTCTTTCTTACCCGAGTAGACAGAGAAATCATGTGTAAAGTACTTGTCACTAGTACTTCATCATTAAAATAGCTTTCCAAAGCTAGAGAGTTGGAATGGGAAGGAATATGATCCAAGTTAGAAAAATTGGCAACTAGTACAATTACCCAGGTAAGTTAATGGCAAGATGCATTTAGTTTTCCATGTTTTTTTGGTATGCTCAGAGCATTCCTGTGGTTAAAGATTAAATGGGATGGTACAATGGCAGTTAGGAGGAGGGGCCATTTGTTAGTTATATCGTTCTTTGTTTGTCATTTCCAGTTTTGTCTAATTCATAAACAAAGTAACTTGGTTTAATAACTGAGTTGCTGCAGCAGTGTGAAAGGACTCAGTTCTAAGGGATGCCTTAATGAATAATGAAAGTCTTTCCTGTAGAGTGAAGGTATCTTCCTTTTTTACAATAACTATGGTCAGTAAATGATTGCCTTAAGACCTATTAGGTCAAATGACTGCTTTCATGACAGGCATCAACTTCAGGCATGGAGGTTCTGCCAGCTGGTTCTTACTCTATAAGCCCAAGGTGTCTCTTTGTTCTGTTGCACTGTTTGCTGGAATATAGGTAACTTACCAGTAGGTGTGCTTAAGAGGCTTCCACATCATGCTCCTGTTTTATAAGTTGAAAGGTGAATGTAGACATGGGAACATTTGCATGGTCCACCTGCTATTGTGAACTGAGGGGGCGAGACTATTTTCAGCCCGGCAAATGCCTCTAACACCTGAAATCAAATATTTAATGGGTGTAACATATAAAGAAATTGGGCTAGGCAGCTCCCAAAGCAACTAAATAGTTGACCTTGATGTCCCATTAGCTTTGGGGATTTTTCAGTATGTAAGAGCATTTCCACATGTGTCACAAACATTGCAGAAGGCTTGCATGTAAACCAAACGCACGTATTTAAGTGATTGAAATCCAGTTGTCTGTACAAGACTGAAAACATACAGGCCTGAGGGGCTGCAATGTGACAAGTTATCTATACTATTAGAGTTCTTGAAAAATGTTGTGTGTCAGCGCCAACTGCCAAATTTGATAGTAGCGATGGTTTGATCTATTGTATTTCTTGATCTTGGTAAACTCTGCAGTGCAGCCATTCCTGAAGCATGCTGTATATCAGTGGCCCTTGACAGAGTATTCACCATTACTCTTTAAAACACTTGTTTACTTTCCGATTGGAGTGCGTGTTCTTACATGCTGGAAGGAAAACTCTCTCTGGACAGTGGTGATGGCTAATGATGGGGGTTTGGATAAGAGCAGAACATTAGTACTGGCTTGATAGGGATACCTTCTGATGAGGATTGAAACCACTAGTAGGGAGCAGTGAAACTATCAGAGATCAGATTGTTTGAGAGATTGTAGACCAAATGTGTGCTAGTTAAGTGCTATACAGCAATGTACACAGAATGAAGGAGTCCAAAGAAGAAAATCACATAAAGACAAGTGATGACTATAAATATATTCAGAAAAAAACTTTGTTCCATTTATAGACTCAGACATGCATTAGCATATAAAACTTCAAAATTCTAACTGTAAAATGGAAGACAACTGGATTATTGGTAGGTTTCAGAGTGAAGTGTGTGGTTCATCTCAACCTATTTCCTGGTTGGTTCACTTGAGTCTGTAGGTTTGTATGTGATTCAGAATTTATCTTTCCAACCATGATAACTACATATGCAGCTCTGTAATCCTGAAGTATAACTTGGTAATGTCCAGGAAAAGTGCATATTCCCAGCCTAGAGATCTGTTTGCTCTCTGAAAATTGGTATTTTCCATACCGCAGTGACTGAAATCAAAGTAAAACAGCAGTCAAACCCTGTTTTTCTTTTATTTTCAGTGAGGATTCAGAAGAAAAAGATGTGAAGACTAAGAAAGACGATTCACACTCGGCAGGTAACTAACTACATTGTACTGATAGTGTATCTTCAAAATAAAGACCAGTTTGTAAGAGTTACAGGAATAGGATTTGACATAGGAAAGAAATTGTTCTGACTAGAGAAGCATGCACTTTTCTTAATACACTTATCTTAAGCTGGATGCTGCCTCTACTGTTGTTACTTCCGGCCCTGGTTTGGGATAACATTTTTTTGTTTAATATGATGCTGCTATAAAGTTTATCTTCACAGATAGATAATGTGTGTTAATCTCTTCCCTGTAGTTTCTGTCCATATTTCAGAATGATACAAGAAATTTCATGTTTGTACCTTTTCCTTCCAGATGAAGATTTTGGCAGCGAAGATGATGACTTAGGAGCAGATGATGGCAAAGCTGACAGTGACTATGAGAGCTCACAAAAAAGCAAAAAAGGAAAAAAGGCTAAACCAGAAAAGAATAAGAGAGCAGCCTCCAAATCCAGGAAAAGGCCTGCAGGTAAGAAAAAAAGAAAAAAGTGTTGCTAGTCTTTGCAGTGAAAGATACTGCACAGGATCATTGTTGGGTGATTACAGAAACACACTTATTAAGTTGAATGTGGCTATGTTCCCCTCAGGGCTCAGTTATTCAGTAAGCATTTTGATTAACTTTCTCGTGAATGACTTGACCTTTGTCTTGCCCACGTGCTACCTCAAGACAGTTAGGTGGTCTGTGTTCTGTATCTTCATTATAACTTGGTGACTTTTACTGCAGAGGACAGCGAGGACGAGAAAGAAGACCACAAAAATGTGCGTCAGCAGCGACAGGCAGCATCCAAAGCAGCTTCTAAACAACGAGAGATGCTTATGGATGATGTGGGTAGTGAGGAGGAAGAACAAGAGGATGATGAGGCACAGTTCCAGGAGAGTGAGTAAATGGGATTGTAAGAAGTTAAAATCAATGTGCCATGGGTATAGTACCAGACATGAGTCTATGGGTCTGGCAAGACAGCAAAAGGAACATGGTTTGCTTTTTGACTGTGATAGTGAAGACATAAGTTTGCCTTCTCGGTAACTTATTACTGTGTATCTGTCCAGCAGACCAAGCTTACGTTTTTCACATCTAGAATTTTTGTTTGAAGTTTGCAGCAAAGATTTATGTCTTTATAAGCAGTCCTAAAGGATTAACGTAAAGTTCTTAATGCTTTTTGCTGCTGCTTTGTATCCCATTGGTATTGAGGCATTGATGCTACTTTCAGATGAAGTACTTTATCCTTGATTGATCAAACTAGGACAGTTTGTTTCATAAGAAGAGATGGGTTAAGCTGCTGATGAACTGCAGCAAGTTCCTGAAATACTGAGTGCAAACATGATTTCAGAATGAAATATGAGTACCACTGAAAAGATCATGTAACTTCTCTTTGTCAAGAGATTCTCTTTATTTTGAGATGGGTTACTTATTAAGGAGACGGAGCGTATTTTGACGACCTCAAAACACTTGCCTGTTTCATCATACTAGTGCTTTATCCCTACCAGTGTAAAATCTTCTGCTACATCAAATTTCTTTAGCACAGCAGATAGGTGGAAGCTTATAAGGTCGCAGAGTCCTACTTTCCAGTCTCAACAGTTTTAACTGGCAGATCTCTCAACTGTATCTTCTGCTTTCTTTCCTTTGTTCCAAAACCTTAAATTTCTTTGTGCTTTCAGCAGATTCAGGAAGCGATGAAGACTTCCTCATGGAAGATGATGATGATAGTGACTATGGCAGTTCAAAAAAGAAAAATAAAAAGGTCTCCAAGAAATCCAAGCCAGAGAGGAAAGAAAAGAAAATGCCGAAGCCCAGGCTAAAGGCTACAGGTGAGTCTGTGCAAAGAAAGTTTGCTTTAGAGGCTAGTATTTTCTTTTTCGACTATAGAAGACTCAGTAGAAATCTTGGGGTCGGTAGGCATTCACATATAATGTTGAAGGGCTAATTCATGTGAGGTACCATGATTTAAAGCAGGGCTATGAAATAATAAAGTCGCTTTAATTCTTACTTTAAGAGATTGAGTTAATATCTATGTCTTGTTGGCAAAAACTGCATAGATTGCAAAACATTCCCTATTGAGATGCTGCATTTCCTATGTATCATAGCCAAGTGATAAAATTTGTGGCTTTGTTTGGCACTCATGGACTTTGTGATGTTTTCAGGGTGGAGGAAGGTGGAGAAATCTGAACCAAAGGAAAACTTGATGTATTTCTGCAGGAAGTCTAAAGTCATGATAGTAACATATGTACTGGTTTGACAAGAGGCTAGCTCTGTTAGTTTATGATGTCATATCCAGTAATTAATCAGGACTTGCAATTAAATAGTTTTTAAATCTTGTTAGCTAACTTTTCAGTTCAGCTTTACTAATATGGAGTGCAAAAAACACCATGTGTGTGGTATGGTCAAAGTGAAATGAAACCTGCTACCAAAGTGTCTTGTAAATCCTGTTTGTATAAAGCCATATGACTTTCTTGTCTTTGTTGCTGATCATAACCTTTATAAGCTCTTTCTTTTTTCAGTGACCCCCAGTCCAGTGAAAGGCAAAGGGAAGGCAGGCCGCCCCACAGCTTCCAAGGCAACAAAAGAAAAGACCCCATCCCCCAAAGAAGAGGATGAAGAGCCTGAAAGTCCCCCAGAAAAGAAAAAATCAGCCAGTCCTCCACCAGAGAAGTCAGGGGATGAGGGATCTGAAGATGAAGCACCCTCTGGTGAAGATTAAATGGCAGTTGAGGAAATCTTTGTTTAAAAAAAAAAAAAGAAAAAAAAAGAAAAAGGAAAAGAAAACATACTTAGGGGTAGAACACGGTTTTGGCTGTGGCTTGACTCATGGGCTTTGAATGCTGTCTTTACTTTCAGCTGTTTAATACAGTGTATCCTTTTTTTAATAAGGAAACCCTTATACAGTAATATTTTGAAGTCGATGTTCTCTGTTGGCCATTCCGTTCTCCCTCCCCCACCAAATCTGAAAGCCATTTGAGACAAATTAACAGACCATTTAAATATATATTTTTTTCAAGGGATACTGCAGTTGTGAAGCAATAAGGTTTGAGGCTGATACGTGGAAACCATACTTACAAATCGTTAAGTAGAATAGATTTTTCCAGTGCTGGTAAGAGTTCTTTAAAACTATTATTCTGTATTTGAATATGTGGAAAAAATGAACCTATGCTTTAACAGACTTTTGTTGATACAAGTTCACTCTCAGAAAAAAATGTAGTTGATACGAATTCCAATTGAGGAAGAGGAAACATGGGGGGGAAACCTGTGTTTCTTGGATTCAGGCACGTTTTTTGTGGAAAGCAATCAAGAGACTTGTAGATGGTCCACTGTCTTTTATTTAGAAAAGACCCTCCAATTAGGATGCGAGATCTTTTGTCTTTGCTGGATAGAACACTATTCTGCTTTAGGCAAATTGCAGTTCATTCTATACAAATTTAGATATACAACCTAGAAGCTTCTCTCATCCATTAACTCTATTTTATTTCTTCCAAGGTTGGCTATAGATGGGCAGAATAGGGCAGAGAAATTGAAAACAATTTTTAAAACTCTGGTTTCCATTTGGTATTGTGGAAAATGTCTTTAAAGTTTTTCCAAGGAAAAAAATTAATGGGTAGTGTAAACCTAAATTCTTTAGCTTTTGGGGCGAGGGATGTCCTTTTATAAATGTGAAGCAAAGGATTCCTGTAATGCTCTGGTCAGTCTCGGATCCCATGAGTCACGCTTAAGTGTTTCTCTTCTCTCCCTACATCTGTCCTTGGAAAGGCTATGTAGTCATACCTCTCAGCCTCTCCAGCTACAGTGTTGGACAGCAGACTTCCATTGATAGTGAACATCACCACGATACCACTTCCATTTCTTCATCCTTCCACCCTACAGTGCGGGAGGCTTTGCTCCTACATCGACATGTCTGCTTCTAACTGTTGGTTGTCATTCTGCTCCCTAAGCCTAAGAAGTGCTGAATAGGGAACGGTATTAAAGGATGAAGCTGGGAGGAAGTGGAGTTTGGAAGCAGTGTAGCAGGGTTGTCGTTTTATAATAAAAGCAGAATGTCCCTCTAAATGCAAGACACTTGAGATGTGTGTGGTGGCATTTTAATGTGTTTTTATCAAAGCAGCCATATCCTTTTTTAAACTTCAATTAAAGTACACAAGCCTTGTTTTTCAAACCCTAATACAGAGGTTGCTGCCATGTTTGTTGGTGGAAATACTGAAAACTGGACCTGCCATTTTTCTTTTTTTTTTTTTTCTTAAACTCTTTGTGCTTTCTGTATGTTGCTCGCAGTCATCTTATAGCTGACAAGCTTTGCATCTTTTTTTTTTTTGTCACAGAACTACACATTTTGTAACCAGCCTCTTGAAGGTAACATAAGGCAGCTAATTAGTTGGATTTCTGGTGCACATGCTACCAGATTTTTAATCCTGTTTGGATTTTAGAGAGCTTTTAGATGTGATACACTAATATGACCAGGAAGGACACTTGGCTGAATGGCATAGGGAGCCTGAAGATGCTGAGCACAGTGTGGAGCCTAAAATGTGGAACGGAATATTAATATAACAGCCAAGTGATTGTCGTGTGTGATTCATAGCCATGGATTTTACTGAGGCTGATAAATTACTTTACCTTGGCTTATAAAAATTTAAGTTCTCTAACATTCTTTACTATAATGAAACTACTGTTGCCGTTACAATAAAGATGATCGGTGTTTCCATTGTAAATCTTTTTTTTTTTTTAAGTGGTTTAATTTTACAGAACAGCTTAAGGCTGGAGTGAAGTATCAGTCTTGAAAAATAAGCAATGTAATCCCTTCTCCTCTCCCACACCTCTTCCTACCTTCCAGATTTCTGGGAGAGCAGAGTCTCTTGCATTCCCTCCACGCCTAGTCCAGTGTTTCTTGGGTAATATGGGAAAATAAATGGCCAAGTTTTAAAAAACATTTGGATTAAATTTGGGGTTAGCATACACTTTTGTGAATGTCTGGTCCACACAGTTGTTCCCCTTCAGTCCAGACTGTGTTTCAAGTTACTCTTGTCTATTGGGTTCTTGGGGTTTTTTTGGTATTAAAATGTACAAGGATTACTTAAACGTAGAATACCTCTAGCTGATCTGGTCAAACAGCTGTTTCTTTACCCGCTAGACCAGATTTTTTTTTCTGAAGAGTCTGTTTTGTAAGTTCCACTTAAAATATATTTTTGGGTTTTTTTTCTAACACAGTTAACTAAAGGCTGTTTCTGTTGTTCTCAGTTCAGGTTTTGGACTGGATTATTTTATGCCTGGCAATTTTGGCCCTTTATCTTACCAAACTGTTCTGCTTTCTCATATGTTCATCTCTCATGGCTGTTAGAGGCTGCATGATGCTTATCTTTGAGTTTGTCACAACCCAAACACTATGTAAATCCTGTACTACTTCTGGGATTTTGTAACTTTTTCTATATCTTACTGTTTTGCTGATTTGTGCAAACACTAAGCCCTAACAGTCTTTTGGTTACTCTGTTAGAAATACAGCAGTTTACATTTTTACAGGTAGAAGAAAATTGTGAAGGTTAATACTTTTTTTTTTTAATTATTTAGTACACAACATTTTTCAGTAGCGGCAGACTTAACATTTTTAAATGTCCTTTTTAATTAATTTGTATTAAGCATTCTGATTTCTTGAAGGAAAGCTGTAAAAATGCCTTTCTTTAGGAGCATGAATAGTTCTTCATGGAGCAGAAAGTTTCATTCACAGAAGAAGGCTTTGAAAAGATTGTCTTCTGTTACACAGCTGTAGTTTTGGAGCCTTTGCAGAGAGGTAAATGGATTTATTCCAAAATTCAGTTAATCTAGTGCCCTGCCCTGGTCTTACTCTTAAAACGGTAGTTCATAACTAACTTCCATTATATATCCTTTCATACATTCTGTTTCTGAATCCACACCATCACATTGAGTTTCGCAGTTACATGCAAATAGTACTGCCTTTAACTGGCCACAAGGCTTGATCAGTAAAAATTTGCAATTTCAGTTGCAATTTCATACTAAAAATTATTTGCTTCAGTTTCTGTTTGATGAGCCTGAGAATGCCAAACATGCCAAGCTAAATGGGTTTCAGAATGGATTGTGGGTGAGAGCAAGATTTAGAAATGGGGCAGCCAAGAAGCTTTTAATTTTGTTGTTTTCATCAAAGCAGAAAAGTGTGTGGGGAGAGAAGCAGCACACCTTGGGTGACTTCTGCTAGGGGAACCTCACCAATGCCAGGTAACTGTTCTGAGCGTGCTCAGCTCTTGTGCCACCACATGGCTGCATCTGCAGGTGATGGACTACCAGGGCAGTGGCAGAAGATGTGCTTGAATTCCTCTTTTTCTTTTTTTTTTTTTTTTTTTTTCCCCCTCCCCTCTGCTGGTGATGGTCACAAAGGTACAATAGACACTGAGGCACCCAGGTTAAGGAGGGAGGGAAGTAAACTGTAACATGCTGGAAGCTTTTGAGCTGTAGAAACTGGTGCTTTGCTTTATGTAATTTGTTTGTGAAGTGTTTATTTTTATAACAGATCATATTGTTGAACACATGGTTCTTAAAAACTACAAACTGATCCATGAGTTTAATGTTTGAGAAGTGGACGTTCATCTGTTGGGGGAGGCAGGATATGAAAATGTAAGCAGATGGATATTTAAAGGGACACTGTCACAAAATAGTTGCTGGCATATAGGATATGTTAGTTTGGGGGGGGGGTGTGTCACATCTATATGTGGAAATTATATATTCTATATGTATATGATCAAGTAGAAAATTTTCCCTGAACTCTGAATATTTTCCTACGGTTTTGGGAGGTTTAAATACAAGTTCTGGTAATGAAACTAGGAAGCAAAACTAACTATCCTGTTCTTCCTGTCCAAGATGACTTTTTTTTTTAAAGTACTATGTGGAGTGTGAGAGCTCTGAAAGATGACAGTGTCCTTTCGAGACCTCCCCAAATCAAGTGTATCCTCGTTTTAGACTTCCCACTTCAGTAGATGACTGGCATTTGAATGTCTTTTCATTGAACTCTTTATATTAAAAACAAAACACAAATATTTCAAAGTCTAGTCAAGTTCTCACCATGTGCTGACTCTGTGTATCAACCACTATTGGAAACGACTCTCTAGACTGCCTGCCCCCTTCAGCCGCGGTGAATCGAGTGGGTCCATCAGTCTGAGCATGCTCAGTGTGACTGCAAAACACCATTGTGCATATGCTTTGTATATTGGGGCAAGGGTTTTTTATATATATATTTTGGGAGGGGTAGTGGGTGGGATGGAGAAATACTCAATCAGCTTAAGCCAGAATAATGTGTGTAAAAGCCCCTGAAGTATTTTGTGTGTGAGTGCGCGGGTGTGAGTGCGCGCATGGGAGTGTCTGACATCTTATTCCCTTTGTGTTCTGAAGTGAGTTTTACTTTTTTTTTTCTGCAGAAGCAATTGTTACAAAAAATTGTATATAAGAGCTACATAATTTTTGTTTAACCATGAACATCGTGTCACAGCAAACCCTGAGTAATCACTTTGAAGGTAGAGGAGGAGACTCCAGGTAGGGCCTTGGGCCTTTGGCTATCAGCAAGGCATCATTATATGGTATGCAACGAATATTTGTCTTGAGTATTTGCAATCCCCTGTTGAGCTTTTCTAAAAATCAGGCTCTTTGCAGTTCCCCTCTCTGCCCCCTTTAATTTCTTTTTAATCTCAAGAGCAGACAGAAAAGGGGGCAGCTGCAAACAGTGTCCAGTGCTGCTGGCCGGTGATCGGTGTGCGTGTGCAGATGTGGTTGTCATCACTGGGCCCGATAGGGTTGGCTATGCTTGCAATACCTTGACAATACTGAGATCTACCGCATGGTACTAGGAGTTAAGTCTGAATGTAACATTAATGCTTTATTTAAAATAAAAACAACACTTTTTTTTAAGGGGTTGAAGTGAACATGACTGTTGACCATGTTCGTGAATTTATAGATGCAACATTCATTGGTAGAATTGTGTGATGGTCTTTTGTGCTACTTAATTTTACATATTCCAGTCTCTGTATGTACCTGCAAAGAAAGAAAAAAAAACAAAACAAAACCCTGCTTTGCTTTTATTGAAAGGGTTCCCAGGACTGCATACCTGCTCCTGAGCTCTGTTTTAAGTATGTGTATCCTTCGCTTGTATTTTGTATTAAAAAAAACCACAAGGAAAAAGAACCCTTTATTGTTCAGCATGTTGGAATTGTGTCCCCTCTTTTATTTTTCTCCTTTTTGGAATATATTAAGCAACTCATTCTTCTGTATCTTTTATTTTCTTTTGTAAACTTTTTGGTTTTGTTTAAAAATGGCTTTATAAAAGGGCTTTTATAACCCATAAACATGACTTGTGTAATTTTTCTGCTATTCTCAAAGGTATTATTTTTCTGCGGTTGTTTTTTGGTTTGTGAGTGTTGGCGAGATGTAAAAACGTGTTCATTTTTCATGATGTCTGGTAGTTTTGGGATTAATTCCGTTGCAGAGCTCGTCCTTTTTCTGAGGAAGGTAAGTCAGGTTTTGGCCAGAACAGTTTGGCAAGTATGACCTTCCCATTGCTACCTGTGAGTGGAGGGGAAGATTTAAAGAATGAAGTCATATTGGCTGTAAAGAGCACAATCCTTGGTTTCACAGGCTTTTCCGTGACAGAGTTGTGAGTTGAGGTTTTCAGGTTCAAAACCAAAGCGATGATGAGATGAAGTCATTTACGTGTCACGCCTTTTTGCTATCCCTCAGCAGTCGCTAGCCTTTCTCTTTTGCCATGTATGTCCCAGCAATGACAGTAAATACACAGCCTGTTCTTTGCGGGTGTCGTACAAAAGAGGACCGCTGTGTTCATTGGGAATGTGCCCTAAATCATTTCAACTGCAGCTGATGTGACCCGGGCGCGGGTCCCTTTCCCGGCGCGCTGTCCCATGCGCCGGAGGTTATGGCGCACAGCGAGTTGGTGCTTTTAAGAAATCCGTCGTAGCAGATTTCGTCTGATTTCTTGCGGAATCTTGGTTCCCATGCTGGACGAACGGCAAGCCGGGCGGCAGCCCTACAACCCCTCGCTCCTTTCTCCGTTCCTCGCCGTCTCCTCCCGCGGGCCCGCGCCTGGTTCCGCGCTGCGCCAGCAGGGGGCGCGCCGCTCCCTCCGCCGGCCCGGTGGGGGTGCGGCGGCCACGCCCCGGCCACGCCCCGGCCCGGGGGTGAGGCGGAGAGCGCCCCCCCCCCCGGCGTTAAAGGCTGCGCTGAACGGGTGTCGGCCGGGGGTGTGTGTTGTCGTCACCGGCGCGATGAGTCGCGGATCTCGTAGTTACGTTTGTGTTTTGCTCCGGCGTGCACGACCCTGTGGTTGAAAAACTGACGTTTGGGTTCTGCAGGACGGACAGCTGGAAGTGGTTTGCTTCCAATGGGGTTTAGGATGAAGCTGCTTTTGGGATCCTAAGGGACCTAGTTTTCTGAAGGGTTCCACGTGGCAAAACACACTCGTGACTTTATTGAGCGAGCAATTTTGGTATGTCTTGTACTTGCCCCAGTTCAGCAACACGCTCGACCGTAATGAAACGGTGGTCTCCGAGACGTTTGGTGCTTGATAGAATTGGGCAGGAGACCGGGTTGCCGTTGTCCCCAGTTGCAGCATAGGCTGATAATGTATTTGTTTTCAGAGGTTGTTTGGGGTACTTTGTGAAATGCCATCTCTGTTGCCCCACACAAAATCCCGTACGCTTATTGACAGCTGTAAGCTGGTGCCTGGCTGCAGGTTCTGCTTCTCTACCTGTTCTATTTTATTCCATAGTGTGGTAAAACGAGATTATATAACATAGGTGTGTTTGGTGTTGGATACTGGTGTTGACAGTGATGCTCCAGGTTTCTGGAACGGAGTGGTTTAATAATGCAGCTTATGGCATTCCTTTCTTCTTCTTAAACGTACCAGCCAATTAACCTTGACAGGTATTTCTACCTCACTGCTATGGCATCTGCAGTTATATGCTGCAGTCTTGACATGGATTCTTTATCTGGAGCAGCTGTAGGGTTACCTTCAGGTACTGCTATGCTACTTCAGTTTTAGGATTAATTAGCAATTAGCAGGTGTGGCACTTCTTTTGTCCCCAGAGGTAAACACTACTTACTCTAAGACGTGGTGCAATACTAAGGATCTGTGAACTCTTGAAAAAGAGTTACTCTTCTTCCCCACTTCCACTAGTCTTTGACTATCCTATTAGTATATGCAGCCTTTGTCTGCTTTTCTCCTCAGTATTGCTCTTTTGAACGCAGTGTATTTACTGAGTGCTCGGTCCTGTATGCAGTTGCTCTGTCAGCATAAGTTTAAAAAGTTCATATTGGCTTTGTAGTAGTATTTACAGGGAATTAATACCAGAAACAAATTATTTGTTTTCACATGTAATGGATGCACATCTGAGAAGTGGACACACAGTGAGCGCTACCAAACCAGGGGGATAAGATTCCTTTTGCGAAGAATACTAGCTGTCAAGTTTTAATCTAACAGAATTTTGCCTCAGGAATATCCTGTTTGTGTTTCTTTTGGTAGTATTTGGTTATAGGATGAAAATAAAGTCAAAAGGTGGAATTTGAGATTAGATCTGTTTTCTGCCATATGCCTTGTTTTTACCCCATAGGTGGCCTTGAAAGAACAAGTAAATGGGACGAAGTTGATGTAAAGAGCTGCTGTTCTGTTCTTGCCCATCTTGCGTGTTGAAGGAAACCTGGAAAATTTGTGGAAATGGAGAGATTTCCCAGCAAATTCCCTGTACTTTAAAAGAGTATTTTTAGGTGTACTTTTTGATGTAGCAAACCACAAGGTGAATGGTTTGAGGTTTTTTTACTTCTTTCACTGGTATTTGAGGTCTCTGTACCATATAATATGATAAATCAAGTATGGAAAGATATCACTAATAACCTAAATTCCTGTGGAGCTGGTACAAAGTCTAATCTGGGGGTGCAGGGTAAGGAGAATGTAGAGCTCTGAAAGGTGTCTGTTCATTGTGCATTGATTGAAAAGCCCCAGACGTCTGTAACGTGTGATGTGTTAGACTTGAATTTGATCTGGGAGTGCTGCTTGTTTGTTCATAACCACATCCTGGGCTAACACATATCTCCAGCTTTAGAGTTTTATGTAGACCAGGAAATGGTTTTGTGTGTTTTGGGTTTTTTTTTTCCTCTTTCCATAGATATAGGTCAAGTTCAAGAGCTGTTATCCCACTGTGGGCAAGCATCGGAATGCAGTCTCCCCCCATGAATAAAAAAGACCAGTGAGGGATAGCTCCTTTTTAAAGTCAGTGCTGAATTAAAGTCTCTAGGACAAATTCAGCCCTTAGCCTTAAACCATGACTGCAGTTTGGTCTCCTGCGTGGGCATGTTTTTTGATGGGCAACAAATGAAAACAATCTTTCACAAAGTCAAAGCCATTTCCTATTCTCTCTTCAATAATATTTCATTTATCCTTCAAAATTATAAGTTTTGTTTTACATTCAAGGGTTTGCTTTATATTTGCTTGCAAATTCTGTAGTTTGAAGAGAGACTGGTATTTTGAATAATCTCTTGTCTTTCAGGTTGAATAACATTTATGTTTTGAGTAGATAAGATAGCAGTTCCAGCAGCAATAAATTTCCTGTTGTCACATTCTCTTTTTTCCTTAAGCATTTCTAACTAAGTAGTTGGCCTTGTTAGGAGGTCTTGGTTAGCATTATCAATTAGTGGCTTTCCCTAACAGTGGAGTCTGTTGGCTTTGTTCATTACAAACATTTTTGATTAACAACTGGAGTGTTTTATGTCTGAGAACTTCTGTCCTAATTTTCTTGTGAGATGCAGTTAGTATTGATTTTTTAAAAAAATATCTCTTTCTGCTTGGATATTCTTTTTTCTTTTTTTTTTTCCTAAATGGTCTTCTGACTGTTTTATAAAGAGGATATTATTGTATTCTCTCCTAATGCACACTCTGTGTTTCTGCTTCACTTCCTGAGAAATGAATGAAGGGAAGGAATAGTTTGAGTATAATCCTACTTATTATATGGAGCCATCATTTCTTTTTCCCTAAACTCGCTTTTTTTAATTTTACTTTATTGCTGATTATGATACTGCATTTGAAACAGTCCTTTCTGTTCCCAGAAACAGTTCAGTACATTAGTTTTAAACTTAATAGGTGATACATTTCTCAAAGGCAAACTAGGTCTTGTATTGGAAGTGACTCAAGTTCTTTCAGTCTCATTCACATTAAACTGGTTTTGCACCTTTAAATGCGTAATACCACTTAAGTGACTTTTTAAACATTTTTCCTATTTCCTTCTTTTGTTGAGCAGGGGTGCCAAAAGGAAAAAGAAAATACCCTTGGGTGTAAGTCCTTGTTCTCTCTCTTGCATCTTCTCCCCATACCACCAAGAGCTTTTAAGTGTAAGAGACCAAGTTGCAGAGTTTAACAACTTGTGTTACCTCTTATATTTCACTTTCCCAAGTTAGTCAAGTGCAAACATAAATATTCTTAACATGAATAGATCACTTTGAAAAAGCAAGTTGTTATATGAGTGCTAAATATTGCTATCTTGGCTCAGCTCTAAGGTGAGCTTGTTGGATATTTGTTTCTTTCCAGAAATACATCTTCGGTCTGCTTTAAATTCATGGATTCTGCCTTCCACTGCCCAGGTCTTTGCTGGACGGCTGTACTGAGTGTAGGTGAGGACAGAAACTATCAAGTCTCTCTCCTTTAAGATGGGCCCAAGCCATGTTACAGCTTGGACCCTAAGACAGTTTGGGGAGGAGAAACCAGCTCCCTTGACCCCTGGCAAATCTGACTGGCTGAAGGATAGCTCTGCCTCTTAGTATTCTTCCCCAGGTACAACTTTATGTAGATGGCCCTGAAGCAGTACTCCATATGGCTGGAAAGAGAGCAACTGAGACCAATGTGCCTGACGAGTGCAGCGTGGGAAGTAGGCTGTAGGGAATTACTCTCTTTGCACGTTCAGCCGTTTTAGTTCAAAACCAACAAGGAAGAGACCAGTTCTCTGATCTGATGGTAGAACACTGTACTAATTAAAATAAACAAAAATTCCCAAGACTTTAAATGCTTGAAGGCGTTGCTGACACCAAAACAAATAACTAAGCTTTAAACATAAACCTGGTCTATCTGGCAGCATTGGCAGAATAGCTGTTGGCATAACATACTTTTAAAAAAGCCTTTTCCTCACTGATACTGCAATATTTTTCAAAACTTACTTTGATCTCCAGGCTTTTCTCTGAAGTATGTGGACCTACAACAAGGAAGGGGTGAGAAATGCCATCTCTAGGCACGTGTTGCGTCTGCTCTAAGGGGCTATGCTTGCATAGCAGGTTAAAAACTTGT